TCATGTTAACTTATCAACAAAGACTGTAGTTCATACCCTACAATAAGGAAACAAGAACCCATTAATAATGCATTAGTAAGGCATAAGTAGAAGTAAGTACCACCAATAAGGCATTAGTAGAAGTAAGTACCACCAATAAGGCATTAGTAGAAGTAAGTACCACCAATAAGACATTAGTAGAAGGAAGTACCCACCAATAAGACATTAGTAGAAGTAAGTACCACCAATAAGGCATAAGTAGAAGGAAGTACCCACCAATAAGTACCCTACCATAAGTATGAGTAGAAATAAGTACCTTACTATAAGTATTGGTAGAAATAAGTACCCTACCATAAGTATAGGTAGAAATAAGTACCAAACCATAAGAATGAGTAGAAATAAGTACCCTACCATAAGTATGGGTAGAAATAAGTACTCTACCATAAGTATGAGTTGAAATAAGTACTCTACCATAAGTCTGTGTAGAAATAAGTACCCTACCATACGTATGGGTAGAAATAAGTACTCTACCATAAGTATGTGTAGAAATAAGTACCCTACCATAAGTATGTGTAGAAATAAGTACCAAACCATAAGTATGTGTAGAAATAAGTACCCTACCATAAGTATGGGTAGAAATAAGTACCCTACCATAAGTATGTGTAGAAATAAGTACCCTACCATAAGTATGTGTAGAAATAAGTACCCTACCATAAGTATGTGTAGAAATAAGTACCCTACCATAAGTATGGGTAGAAATAAGTACCCTACCATAAGTATGTGTAGAAATAAGTACCCTACCATAAGTATGTGTAGAAATAAGTACCCTACCATAAGTATGTGTAGAAATAAGTACCCTACCATAAGTATGTGTAGAAATAAGTACCCTACCATAAGTATGGGTAGAAATAAGTACCCTACCATAAGTATGTGTAGAAATAAGTACCCTACCATAAGTATGTGTAGAAATAAGTACCCTACCATAAGTATGGGTAGAAATAAGTACCCTACCATAAGTATGTGTAGAAATAAGTACCCTACCATAAGTATGTGTAGAAATAAGTACCCTACCATAAGTATGTGTAGAAATAAGTACCCTACCATAAGTATGTGTAGAAATAAGTACCCTACCATAAGTATGTGTAGAAATAAGTACCCTACCATAAGTATGTGTAGAAATAAGTACTCTACCATAAGTATGTGTAGAAATAAGTACCCTACCATACGTATGGGTAGAAGTAAGTACCCTACCATAAGTATGTGTAGAAATAAGTACCCTACCATAAGTATGTGTAGAAATAAGTACCCTACCATTACGTATGAGTAGAAGTAAGTACCCTACCATAAGTATGTGTAGAAATAAGTACCCTACCATACGTATAGATAGAAATAAGTACCCTACCATAAGTATGTGTAGAAATAAATACCCTACCATAAGTATGTGTAGAAATAAGTACCCTACCATAGGTATGGGTAGAAATTAGTACCCTACTAAAAGTATAGATAGAAATAAGTACCCTACCATAAGTATGTGTAGAAATATGTGTAGAAATAAGTACCCTACCATAAGTATGTGTAGAAATAAGTACCCTACCATAAGTATATGTAGAAAGAAATAAGTACCCTACCATAGGTATGGGTAGAAATTAGTACCCTACTAAAAGTATAGATAGAAATAAGTACCCTACCATAAGTATGTGTAGAAATAAGTACCCTACCGTTAGTATGTGTAGAAATAAGTACCCTACCATAAGTATGTGTAGAAATAAGTGTGTACCCTACCATAAGTATGTGTAGAAATAAGTACCCTACCATAAGTATGTGTAGAAATAAGTACCCTACCATAAGTATGTGTAGAAATAAGTACCCTACCATAAGTATGTGTAGAAATAAGTACCCTACCATAAGTATGTGTAGAAATAAGTACCCTACCATAAGTATGTGTAGAAATAAGTACCCTACCATAAGTATGTGTAGAAATAAGTACCCTACCATAAGTATGTGTAGAAATAAGTACCCTACCATAAGTATGTGTAGTAAGTACCCTACCATAAGTATGTGTAGAAAGTACCCTACCATAAGTATGTGTAGAAATAAGTACCCTACCATAAGTATGTGTAGAAATAAGTACCCTACCATAAGTATGGGTAGAAATAAGTACCCTACCATAAGTATGTGTAGAAATAAGTACCCTACCATAAGTATGTGTAGAAATAAGTACCCTACCATACGTATGAGTAGAAGTAAGTACCATACCATAAGTATGTGTAGAAATAAGTACCCTACCATAAGTATGTGTAGAAATAAGTACCCTACCATAAGTATGTGTAGAAATAAGTACCAAACCATAAGTATGTGTAGAAATAAGTACCCTACCATAAGTATGTGTAGAAATAAGTACCCTACCATAAGTATGTGTAGAAATAAGTACCCTACCATAAGTATGTGTAGAAAAGTATGTGTAGAAATAAGTACCCTACCATAGGTATGGGTAGAAATTAGTACCCTACTAAAAGTATAGATAGAAATAAGTACCCTACCATAAGTATGTGTAGAAATAAGTACCCTACCGTTAGTATGTGTATAAATAAGTACCGAACCATAAGTATGTGTAGAAATAAGTACCCTACCATAAGTATGTGTAGAAATAAGTACCCTACCACAAGTATGTGTAGAAATAAGTACCCTACCATAAGTATGTGTAGAAATAAGTACCCTACCATAAGTATGTGTAGACAGTAAGTACTCTACCATAAGTATGTGTAGAAATAAGTACCCTACCATAAGTATGTGTAGAAATAAGTACCCTACCATAAGTATGTGTAGAAATAAGTACCCTACCATAAGTATGTGTAGAAATAAGTACCCTACCATAAGTATGTGTAGAAATAAGTACCCTACCATAAGTATGTGTAGAAATAAGTACCCTCCTTAAAGTATGGGTAGAAATAAGTATCCTACCATAAGTATATGTAGAAATAAGTACCCTACCATAAGTATGGGTAGAAATAAGTACCCTACCATAAGTATAGATAGAAATAAGTACCCTACCATAAGTATGTGTAGAAATAAGTACCCTACCATACGTATAGATAGAAATAAGTACCCTACCATAAGTATGTGTAGAAATAAGTACCCTACCGTTAGTATGTGTAGAAATAAGTACCCTACCATAAGTATGTGTAGAAATAAGTACCCTACCATAAGTATGTGTAGAAATAAGTACCCTACCATAGGTATGGGTAGAAATTAGTACCCTACTAAAAGTATAGATAGAAATAAGTACCCTACCATAGGTATGGGTAGAAGTAAGTACCCTACCATAAGTATGTGTAGAAATAAGTATCCTACCATAAGTATGTGTAGAAATAAGTACCCTACCATACGTATGGGTAGAAGTAAGTACCCTACCATAAGTATGTGTAGAAATAAGTACCCTACCATACGTATGAGTAGAAATAAGTACCTTACTATAAGTATAGATAGAAATAAGTACCCTACCATAAGTATGGGTAGAAATAAGTACCCTACCATAAGTATGTGTAGAAAGAAGTACTCTACCATAAGTATGTGTAGAAATAAGTACTCTACCATAATGGGTAGAAATAAGTACATAAGTATGTGTAGAAATAAGTACTCTACCATAAGTATGTGTAGAAATAAGTACTCTACCATAAGTATGTGTAGAAATAAGTACCCTACCATAGGTATGTGTAGAAATAAGTACCCTAACATAAGTATGGGTAGAAATAAGTACTCTACCATAAGTATGTGTAGAAATAAGTACCCTACTATAAGTATGTGTAGAAATAAGTACCCTACTATAAGTATGTGTAGAAATAAGTACCCTACCATAAGTATGTGTAGAAATAAGTACCCTACCATAAGTATGTGTAGAAATAAGTACCCTACCATAAGTATGTGTAGAAATAAGTACCCTACCATAAGTATGTGTAGATATAAGTACCCTACCATAAGTATGGTAGAAATAAGTACTCTACCATAAGTATGTGTAGATATAAATACTAAACCATACGTAAAAATTGTACCTGTAGTATTTCATTATATGTAAGTGCTTTCACAGGACGACATTTACATACATTCGTAAATTTGCATATATATATGTGTGTGTTTGTGTGTGTGTGTGTGTGTGTGTGTGATGGTGTGTGTGAGGGTGTGTGTGTGTTAGTTATTTTTTTTTTAAGAAACATGCCAGGAAAGGTTCTTGTTAAAATCAGGATGAAAACGTTGCACTCAGTTACAATACATGTGTGCTGATTTGGGAATTAAATGTCCAAATGAATCAGCGATTACTATTGATTACGGAAATTCGTTTCAGATGTCAATACCTGCCAGATGACAGAATGGTTGGAGGTATTGCATAGCGTGGTCCCTAACATAATCTTTAATGTCTTTTAAAGTTTACTCACTCTGGCATTAATCTCAGTCACTCACCTATCATAAATGTTAAATTCGGCAATACTTTTCATTGTATTAAAACAGGACATAATACTTGTGGTGTCGCATGGCATCACCTCCTGGGTTACTTTCATAATTTTATTTAAAAAAAAAGATGATATGCACGGAAGAGGACACGGGCTGGTTAGAAAATGACATACTAATGCATAAATGCCTTATATTTTGTTTTAAATATTTAATAACCACTTGTATTGAAAAACAAAACAAAAACAAGAAGTGTTCCATTTTAGTTAGTGTCACGTTCGTGGCGGTGCTCGTTGGGAGAAATGAACCTGATTTCAAGTCAGCTAAGTTGTTCAGCAGTCTATACATTATTGTTGCACGGACTTTGGTTCGTCATTTCAAATATCAATACCACTTCCTCTGCGGCTGAATCTTATGTCTCGGGGTTTTAGTTCGTATGTTTGTTGTTACAAAAATTACATACTACGTATTCCTGACAGTAGACCTAACCAATAGAACTGCCTCTCCGATTGAATCTTTGTCTCTTTGACGCTTAAAGTGAATGCGCTGCGGAACAATCACAACATCAATAATTGACGCTTCGGTGGTGATGGTAGATCTAGGTTGAGGAAGGGCCTAAAGAATATACAGCCTGTTACCTGGGAAGTCAAAGAGTTATACCAGCAACAAATTTAAGTAAGTGCATTTTATTGATAAATACAGCATATTCCACAAAGCGAAATGTTAACTTCCTGCAGGCAGCAGGAAATTTTCCGCGTATCGCTGTATTAGTTAATGGGAACCTACCACACTGGGACCCTTTGCATGTAATGATCAGTTCAGATGAAATATTCTTCATGTCTCATTTTCAGAGGAATGTAAAACGAGGAAAAACTTCAATGTTCATATTCAATGTTCAGATTATAGCAATATAGGGGTGCATGTCAGTCGGACTTTTTAAAAGTAGCTATAAATTTCTTGGATATAAAGTGTAGACCTATTGTAAGCTTATCAGTTGGTATAAATCGACATTTCTCTCGTATAAGCCAGTATCTATATTTGTCTTCGTGATCGAATATATCTAATTTAGTTTACAAGTTTCCCATTCTTCAAAATTGTGGATGACCCGTTGTGCTGCAACATGACTTTGTAGGTCACGAGTTTGCGCATACGTTGTTTCCGGCCATGTAATTTTAGTACATTCGTACATATGACTCTAGGCAATCTTCAATCATTAACGTATGGTTTTAAGATATTACCTGTCACATGACATCAAAAGTTATCTTTGATGGATCTGCTTAGGCAAATAGTGAGAAAAGAGAGTAGCAAAGTTAATTGTAATCTGCTATCATCATGGCAAAGTATATGTCGTGCTCAATATATCGATGTACACGTTAAGGATGATACAGCTGGTTGTCAAGCAGCCTTTTTTGTATTCATTATTTGTATCCATGTAAAAGGTATATTTATCTATAGGTAGAAAATCATTATAGAGTATCATCTATAGACCTTTCATAGGTAAATGCTGTTAGTAAGCTTAGCCTTATAGACTGCTCAAAATCTGGAGAGGCTCCCAGCTATGACAAATCTTATAACAAAAACAAAAAACTGCAGAATCTGGAGGAGCTCCCAGCTATGTGTAACAAAATGAGTAAAAAATGGGTTTAATGGTAATTTTAGAATGGTGTGTATCGTAGAGAGCAGCATCTTAGTTTAAAGTACATCAGGTCAAAATTCCGTTAATGCTGGACAGAGGAAAAGATCCCGTGAGTGATAGATAGTGATTCACACCTGATAACGGGCAGGGTGTGTACCCAAGTGGTGAAGCACCGTGGCAGAATATCGCCAGTATGATTGATCAGGACAGATAGATGCTCTCTTGTATGCCTCGCACTGGCGAAAACATTTGTAAGTAAACAAGATAAGAAACAATGTATAAGGTAGATCAAAGATAGGAAGTTGATAACGGGTACTCCTAGTCGCACGTGCCTTCATGATTAGATGCTCCGGGGGCTGGGTTATTGTTGTCCAATTGGGACTAGGCTTAAATTAAGTATTTGGGTATTATTTATACAAAGATAATAGCCAGCAGAAGTGTAGTCGAGTCTGGGATCGAGTAGCTAGAGGGAGTTGGACGTGGACACGGGCAGAGTCCCGTATGGGACCTGCGCCACGATGGAGCAGGTCCTGGCCAAGTTGGCCCATGAACATTTGTATGGAACTCTTTGATATGGACGGGCAGGTGTTTAGTTTTTGTCTGCCTTACACAGGTGTCTAGTTTTGGTGCCACAACATGATGCTGTATGTTGATCAGGAACAATCTTTTGTAATGGATATTAACGTGAAGTACTAACTATGGAAAACCACTATACGATGAAATAAACGTTTCGGTCAACCCAAGTAACACTGTGTTTAGTCATTATGTTACATATGACAAATCTGATAACGAAAAAAACCTCTACAGAATCTGGAGGAACCCCCAGCTTTGACAAATCTGATAACCAAATAAAAACTGTACAGAATCTGGAGGAGCTCTCAGCTTTGACAAATCTGATAATACAAAAAAAAAAAAAAAATACAAAAAACCGCAGAATCTGGAGGAGCTCCAATCAATGACAAATCTGATAACACAAAAAAACTGTACAGAATCTGGAGGAGCTCCCAGCTTTGACAAATCTGATAACACAAAAAAAAAACCCCAAAAATTGCAGAATCTGGAGGAGCTCCAATCTATGACAAATTTGATAATGAAAAAACCTGTTCAAAATCTGGAGGAGTCCCAATCAATGACAAATCTGATAACACAAAAAAACTGTACAGAATCTGGAGGAGCTCCCAGCTTTGACAAATCAACCAATCAAGCTAAAGAGAAGTTCTCTTTGGCCGGGTAGTATATTGCATGTAGTATTATACCAGGGTTACAGCCCAAAACTATGCAGAATCTGGAGGAGCTCCAATCTATGACAAATCTGATAACGAAAAAAAAAAACTGTACAGAATCTGGAGAGGCTCCCAGCTATGACAAATCTGACAGCACAAAACTTCGCAGAATCTGGAGAGGCTCCAAGCTATGACTAATCTGACAGCCCAAAACTGTGCAGAATCTGGAGAAGCTTACAACTTATACCAGTTCTGATAGTAGATGAGGCTGTCCAGAATCTTGAGGAACTTTCATCTGTGACAGTTGTGAGAGTAGTCGAAGACTGTCCAGAATCTAGAGGAGTTCCCAGCTGTGACCAGTTGTGAAAGTAGTCAAAGACTGTCCAGAATCTAGAGGAGTTCCCAGCTGTGGCCAGTTGTGAAAGTAGTCGAAGACTGTCCAGAATCTAGAGGAGTTCCCAGCTGTGGCCAGTTGTGAAAGTAGTCAAAGACTGTCCAGAATCTAGAGGAGTTCCCAGCTGTGGCCAGTTGTGAAAGTAGTCAAAGACTGTCCAGAATCTAGAGGAGTTCCCAGCTGTGGCCAGTTGTGAAAGTAGTCAAAGACTGTCCAGAATTTAGAGGAGTTTCCAGCTGTGGCCAATCCTGATAGTAGGTGAGGCTGACAAGAATCCAGGGAAGTTCCCAGCTTTGACAAGTTCTGATAGTAGCCCAAGGTTTTTTAAGTCTGGAGGAGTGCCTAGGTGTTATAAGTATTTTTTTTAGTCTTTTGAATTTCAGATTTTAAGGTACAACCTGTAAGACCTCATATAGGCTTGTACAAGTCCAGTGCATCCTGTATGTTCTGACTTCTGATTTTCACATTTCTAGGTATAGCCTGTAAGACACAGCCATGTCGGATCTATCTTGTCCTATTACCGGAATACTGCTGCTAGCTGGTGTAGGGGTCCTTTTACTGGTTATCCTCCTTCCCATGAGCTTTAGTGGTATTGAATACTACGAGGTAAGTGTCAATGTTATATCTTGGTTATCTCCCTTGGAAATAATGGAGGAAACACTGAAGGGAAATAAATATATTGAAGCACAAAGAAAATAAGGGTTTGCTGTTCAAGAATTCATACTTGTAAAATATGTTTGACTACCTTCTTTTAACTTTCACGAAAGGTTTTCTGTCAATTTGAAGAATGTTCTGTTATATTTTTGGGTTATCTCCCTTGAAAACATCTAGTTGGGGAATATTGGTGTAAACATAAATCTCAAGAATCAGAAGGAGATTTTTAAATAAACATTAATGTTTGTTTGTTGTTATTTTCTCTACTTTGCATTTTCAAAAAACGTGAATCTAATTTTCTATCAATCATAGGAATGCATACAGACATCTACAGCTGTAATTAAACTTATTCTTGTCTCTCCATCACAGTATGGCTTCAAACGACAAAAAAGCACTGGAACTGTCACACTGGATGAAGTGTATAGTTCTGGCAAGCATCTTCTCGGTCCTGACTATGAGTTTAAGATATTTCAAGCTGATGCTCACTTTGTGACATTAAACCAAGTACGAGCTTTCACCTCTGATGGCCTTGAGGTAGGAAACATGCCAGTAATCATTTGTAAAAAAAAAAAAAAAGATTTCTGATGTTCCTGATCATTGAGGTTGATCTTGATAATGACTTTGTTATTTAATCAACTGAAGTAATTGATGAAAAAAATGTATTGATTTTTCTTGGTTGGAATACTTGACAGATAAGATAATTATTGTTTTCTACATAATAGGTGCACATTCACTGCATGCCCTCAATATTGCTTTTTGGAAGAGGATAAGTGTGTTTAATGAAAGTGAAAACCGTTTTACTACATTGATATGCAGATATGATAATCAGCCTTTTAACATTTGGCCTTCAATTTACCAAATCACTTAGGTTACATTGCTGAAATTTTTATTTTCACTCAAATGAATTTTTTTTTATGCTTCCATGAAAGTTTCCTGTTTCAGCAGATTGTCCTTGTAAATGGTTTTATTAAGCACCATCCTGTTTGCTTTTGTTATTGTTAGTACACTTTTTTTTCAAATGTGAACTTAGAAAACTTTGAAAATCCTCTCTGTTTAGGTACGATTGACCGTGAACTTTCAGTACTACTTGCGTAAAGATGATCTTCCAGAGCTTCACCGCGCTTATGACATATACTACAAAGATGTGATGCGATCAAGTGCCATCGATGCTCTTAAGGTACAGAAAGATTCAATCCCTGATTGTGAAAATAGTCACAATGCTAACCTTTACATACAGACTTTTTGCAACTGGATTTTAAATGGTAGTTTTTTTTGAGGAGGTATCTCAGGCTAAGAATGGACATAGGGTCCTCTGCTTCTTCATTTATCAATTTTAAAAACTTTTTTTTTGAAAAGTGGATAAGAGCTTAGTGTGTTTCTTGGATTTGGCAGGTAAGATTTTTTCTCAAATTTTATACAAATTCCTCTTCAGTTGTGCCTGTTTAATTTTGAGACTGATTGAATGAATATACTACCAGTCAAACGTCTTGGATTTTGTTAGCTAAGATTATCATCAGTTTTTGCCAGGAATTGTCATTGTTGTGTATATACTCTCCTTTGTCTTTTGATTTACATATTTAATTTCAATCTGATTGAGAGATCAATGAAAACCACTTGGTCACCATATTGAGTTAATTTCGATGATGAAGATTGTACGATGTAATTGCTCTTTTGCGGAAGGCATCAAGCTTTAGTTGTTTATTTTGATGAAGGTTTTCATATGGATTCTTCTGTAGTGACAAAACTAGCCTACTGTAAACTATATTTTAACTTCAAACATTTTGGGTCAGTCTTTTTGTCTAATTTTAGAAGTTTTTTTGTGTTAATTATTTTTCACTGTTTTATTTGTCGTGCAGCAGTGTGGAAAGTGCTCTAATATCCATTGATTCAATTTGAATTAAATATCTGTTATTGTCAACATGGAAGTAGTTCATAGGTCAGATAAGTAAAAAGGAAAATAGTTCATAAGTCAAATAAGTAAAAATGAAATTAGTTCAAAGGTCAAGTACGTAAAAACAAAGATTGTTTATTGGTCAAATAGAAAAAAATGGAAATAGTTAAAAAATAAAATAAAATAAAAAATAGTTCAGAGGTCAAAAAAATAAAATAAAAAATAGGTCATAGGTCAAAAAGATAAAATAAAAAATAGTTCAGAGGTCAAATAAGTCAAATGGCACATTTAATTGAAAAGAATTGTGGATTTTATTTTGAAAACCTGACATATCAATGAAAAGTCCATTTAAATGTAAAACTCAAGTTCAATTTGCTTTCAATACTTAGAAAATAAAAAAAACATAGTGGGATACATCTGAAAAGCTGAATATATGAGAACTGTGTTGTGGTTCCACTGGTATATGTTTTGTTTTTGGTGGGAAGCTCTTTTGTAGTGGAAATTCATTTTCAGGTATGGTAATATGCAGTTTTTTTAAATTTCTTTTTTTTTCAATGTTTGTTGTACCCTACCATATTTTGATTTTCCCACCAGGGGGCAGTGCCAGTGTTTACAACAAGGGAAATGTTCTCAGAGCGTAAAGTTGTTGAGGAAGCGATGTATAAGGCAGTGAGAGAAAGGCTTGGAGGAATATGTTGCCAGAAGAACTGTAACCTCTGGAAGTATGGTAATAAATTTTGACAACAGGATTTTTTATGTTTGTCAATGTAAAACAGAATCAAAGTTCAGTGGAGGCTAAGGACACAAATATATTTTTTGAAACTTTCATTCCACTTTATCTGAGCAAGAGAGGTTGGTAATGTCAAAAGAATAGAAGTTCTTATTACTTAAACAGTAGAAGATTTAAATATGACATTTTGGTCCTTCATCAGACAAATGACCAGTATGAAGTGTACTTGCACTGTAAAAGATGTAAGGCTGTACTGTAAACTTATGTAAATTAAGATGGAAATTAGTTTGTCTAGATAGTATACAGATTGTTAAAAAAAAGATTATGGTAACAATACTCGGCTATAGTGTGTTCAAGACTAGGTCATAAATGTTGAAAGTCTATGGTCCCCCTCATCCCTGTTTAATACAGAGACACTGTAACTAATCCAGATTGTCTGAAAAAGATATTTACCCTGGCAACTATTTTGGAAATTTCCCAGTCAGTATGACTTTCCTTTATTATTTTAGAGTTACTTCTTATTCCTCACAAATCATATCTATAAGGGAAAAGTTGTAAAAAAAACCATTCAAATTACCTCATAAATTTTCCTGTAGAAAGGCAAATATTTTATCAACACAACTGTTTTTCATTACTCCATGGTAGTTTTACATTGCACTGTCACAGTCTTGTAATGTCTGTGTACAGTATTGATATTGTAGCGTGTCCTGCTAGCTGTAAGTCCTGAGGGATCTGTACATATCTACAGTGTACAGTATTGTGGTATGTCCTGCTAGATGTAAGTCCTGAGGGATCTGTACATATCAACAGTGTACAGTATTGATATTGTAGTGTGTCCTGCTAGCTGTAATTCCTGAGGGATCTGTACATATCTACAGTGTACAGTATTGTGGTATGTCTGTAATTCCTGAGGTGATCTGTAGCTGTAAGTATCTACAGTTTACAGTATTGTGGTATGTCCTGCTATTGTGGTATGTCCTGCTAGCTGTAAGTCCCGAGGAATCTGTATATATCTATAGTGTACAGTGTTGATATTGTAGTGTGTCCTGCTAGCTGTAAGTCCCGAGGGATCTGTACATATCTACAGTGTACAGTATTGTGGTATGTCCTACTAGCTGTAATTCCTGAGGGATCTGTACATATCTACAGTGTACAGTATTGTGGTATGTCCTGCTAGCTGTAAGTCCTGAGGGATCTGTACATATCTATAGTGTACAGTATTGATATTGTAGGATGTCCTGCTGGCTGTAAGTCCTGAGGGAATTGTACAATCTATAGTGTACAGTATTGATATTGTAGTGTGTCCTGCTAGCTGTAAGTCCCGAGGGATCTGTACATATCTATAGTGTACAGTATTGTGGTATGTCCTGCTAGCTGTAAGTCCTGAGGGATCTGTACATATCTATAGTGTACAGTATTGATATTGTAGCGTGTCCTGCTAGCTGTAAGTCCAGAGAAATCTGTATGGAAGCTGATCATGGACTGTTTGCCAATGTAAAGTACTTCCAAATGGGACAGGTGTATATTCCTCACGATGTCAAGGAAAGATTGCTACGTTCTCTTACCCTAAAGGAAGATGCAGAGAAGGAAAAACTCCTTCAGGATGCTCAGGTGGAACGTAAAATTACAGCTTCTAAGGTAAGGAGAAAAAGATAGGCAAAGTAGATTTGTATTTTGATTTAACTTTTGATATGGTGGGAAATATTTTTTTTAATCCATTAATAAAGCCAGGTTGCCAATATTGAAATTTTAAGGTTTATTCAAGTGGTGGGCTATTTGGAAAGGAATGGGAGATATATGAGTGGGCTTATTGTTGGTAGATATGGTGAACTTCTGGTGAATCACTGCTTACAATCTCAGGTCTTCAGGACTGCCTTATATGACTTAGTTTTTGCAATTATTTTTTTTTGTGAAGTCAGAATTTTTACATTCTTAAAATATAAGATTCATCGTACTTTAGGTTCAAACAAGACGAAACGAGGCGGCAGAGGTCAGACAGGAAGCCGAGGCCACCTCCGCAATGATTCAACTGACGTCCCGTGCTAACTACACAGCAGTTGTTGAGAGTTCCAGAAGTCGTGGTCTGACTGGTCTGTACTCACGACTCGGTATCACTGACCAGAGAATAAAAAACAGCTTTGATTATCTCCGTACGCTTCGTGGTCTTGACAACGTTTTCCTTTCTGTAGACTTTGACCAGAACATTGTGGGAAATTTTGGGAAAATGTAGATATATAGTGTAGAATTCTTGGTAACAATCCATGACCATTTAAAAGCACTTAAAGGTCCTCTCCCCCTTGTCATTTAACTGTGTTCTACTTAACAGATAATATCAAATATGCATGAAGAATAACAACGATTTAGTGCAACAAGATCAGATCAAATAGTATCTTAAGTTTCATAGGAGAATTATGAACATAGAATGTTCACAAATATTCAGTCTTGATTTCTTTACAACAAATGGAGGAAACAAGTTTTTTCTTCAATGTCAGAATATATAATGTGTCAAGGAAAAACGGAAATGGAGACTTTTATGACGCTGTTTGTTTTGGAAAAAAAATAAATAAACACAGGATTGACAAGTATGTTATAGAATAATTTCTAACATCTCTGTGTCTCTCTCTTTATGTACGGGGTGTAGCTGTAAGTTTTACAAAATATTGTTATTTACGTCAATAGTTTTGATGAAGACTAGATACAGTGTGTTATATATTTCTGTGTAGTCCTGTATGCTGCGTAGTTTACTGGTGTTAAGTATCCTTGTTGATTACCTGTAAATACTTATCATGTATGTCTTGTATCGATGTTTGTAGATGTTCTATACTTTTTGCAAATGCTGCGGTCACATCCTCGCAGCTAAATCTGGTTTACAAGATGTTTACTCAAGTATCAACCAATTCTAATGGAAACATATGAATGATGATATGTGCTGCCTGTGATTCCTATGTACTTGTTATAGATGTTAGGTACACTACGCATATCTTTGTGGTTCGTGTATCTACATACTTGTTGTAGATGTCTAGTATGCTATGTAAGAATCACGTATCTTTAGATGTTTGTGTATCTACATACTTGTTGTAGATGTCTAGTATGCTATGTAAGAATCACGTATCTTTAGATGTTTGTGGTTCCTGTATCTACATACTTGTTGTAGGTGTCTAGTATGCTATGTAAGAATCACGTATCTTTAGATGTTCGTGTATCTACATACTTGTTGTAGGTGTCTAGTATGCTATGTAAGAATCACGTATCTTTAGATGTTCGTGTATCTACATACTTGTTGTAGGTGTCTAGTATGCTATGTAAGAATCGCGTATCTTTAGATGTTCGTGTATCTACATACTTGTTGTAGGTGTCTAGTATGCTATGTAAGAATCGCGTATCTTTAGATGTTCGTGTATCTACATACTTGTTGTAGGTGTCTAGTATGCTATGTAAGAATCACGTATCTTTAGATGTTCGTGTATCTACATACTTGTTGTAGGTGTCTAGTATGCTATGTAAGAATCGCGTATCTTTAGATGTTCGTGTATCTACATGCTTGTTGTAGGTGTCTAGTATGCTATGTAAGAATCGCGTATCTTTAGATGTTCGTGTATCTACATACTTGTTGTAGGTGTCTAGTATGCTATGTAAGAATCGCGTATCTTTAGATGTTCGTGTATCTACATACTTGTTGTAGGTGTCTAGTATGCTATGTAAGAATCGCGTATCTTTAGATGTTCGTGTATCTACATACTTGTTGTAGGTGTCTAGTATGCTATGTAAGAATCACGTATCTTTAGATGTTTGTGGTTTGTGTATCTACATACTTGTTGTAGGTGTTTGTATAAGTATGGATATTTACTTTACTTTTCTGTTCGATATTTATTTAAAAAACTACGTTAAAGGGATGAAAATCACTCACATTGCATCATTGTGATGTCACAAAGTTTATAAAGTCCCCATGTTGATCTGTATGAGAGCTTATAAGAATTAATACTTACCTAGACTTATAAGTTTTAATGTTGATCATTTTAAACAATCCTGCTTATAGTGATCAAAGCTGATGTAGATTTCAGTGGTTGGAAATCATTGAATGAATATCTAATTGCTAAATCATATATCATGGTATGGCTCAAATTTTGTGTGATTTTGAAATTATTCCCCTAAAAGTTGCAATTTTGTGGACAATTAATTTCGTGGGTAAATTTGGCTCAATAAGTTATGATAATGTGAAAATGCTTGGACATGTTAATTTGATGTTTATGAATGATGTCAGAAAAAATAAATTAACTACGAAGCTAGACATTACAGTAACTAGTCCCCGTCTTTTTTAAGACTCATGTTATTGTTTGATTTGATGTTTAGTGCTGTTTTGTAGTTCTCTTTTTTTGTGAATTTTGATGATTATTTTAATGTTTTTATGATTTAAAAGTTTCATTAAACAACTTGAGAAATACTTTTTATAAAACTGTAGTGGGAAAACAATTCACTATTATGGATTTTTAAAAATTAATACGAACTAGAAATGTGCATTTTTTTGTGCTACTTATTTAAAAAGTAACCCACAATATATATATAGACAAGTAGCTTCTGTTTAATTCAGGAAATAAATACACAGGATTGGAAAAGTAAATGTGTACGAAATCAGGTGGCATTTCTTTACTACCAACACCAAAGAGATTCTGTGATACTTCTTTTACAATTTCTTTATACATTCTTAAATTGTCATTTTTGAAGTCATCTTTTGTTGCTATTTACATTTTTTATAGTAAAATGTTTTTAATTCTTTATTTTACAAGCGACCAATGATGTTAAAACATTTGACATTTAGCCCTGCGGCTTTAGAATTGGTTTACCTCACAACTTGTGCGAAGCAGAGTCTGTAGAGCTGAAGAGGAAAGTTAATTTAGGCTTTTTAGGTCCCCTGAGACAAAGTTTCATGGTGACCTATTCCAATACTCTTCATACGACATCGTGCGTTGTGTGTCTTTAAAACAATTTTACAGAAACCTTCCCTGGCCCAAGATGAACCAAAATTGTGAATTATACAGTCCTCACCCCACAGGGGCCTAAAGGCCTAAAAATATTCTTCTCAAGACCCAGATTTGGTAGAATCAAATACTCTTCATGAATGGAAGCATCTCAAGGTGCTTTTTACCAAAATTGTGAATTTCATGGTCCCAGGGTCTTGCCTATCCCCGTGGGGAGGGGGTAAAGTTTACTATAGTTTGTATAGGAAAACTAGATTTTTGAGCATAATTTGTTTAATTTCCATTGGAAATATTAAAAATTTGGTTAGAATTATGATTGAAGGATGACAGCTTGATGGTATGCTCATTTTGATCCCGACTGACCCCCAGGGGCGGATGGGTAGGACCAAAAGGGGTCAAATTGACTTAAATTTCAAAAATCTTATTCTCAAGACCCTGATATGGTAGAATCAAATGCTCTTCATGAATGGAAACATCTTAAGGTGCTTTAATTACAAAAATGAGTCTCAAATTTCTTCCTCGGAAGGAATATTTTTTTAAAAACTTCACTATAATTTTCATAGAAAAATTGTATTTTTGAGCATAATATTGATTATTTCCCACTGGAAATAACTTTATAAGAATTATCAGTATAGGATGACAGTTTTGTTGAATGCTTTTATTGACACCGTCTGTATTCAGCATCACAATTTCTGGTTCATGACACTTGATACCCATCCTTTAACCTTTATAAACAATATTGCTTATCTCAGGCGACTGTCAAGGCCGCTAGGCCTCTTGTATAATGTTCGATACACTTATTACTATTATGAAAACTGATCCTTATATATGTGCTACTATATATAACTGTATATTGCAAGATGCTTGCAGTGGTGTATACATGATGGAAGGTATTTTTGGAAACCCAAGAGATTCTGGGTCCCCAACTCAAACAAGTCATATGGGATTCTGATAATGGTTACAAGGTGAACTGGGCACTCTTTCACCTGAAACGGAAAATGAGACGCAAACAAAGTTACGAACCTTTTTTTCTGTTGCTTTCAATACCAGCTTGAATTAGATATTAGAATTCCTTGATGTATGGAGTTTGTCATTCCATCCATCTACCACAAGTTTTTTTCCCCCTTATTTCTAATCGTCTGATTTCTACCTCCAATAATTATATATTTTTGTACATCATTGTGTATATTTGCAAAATATATGCCACCAAATGTTGCCTATTAACCAATTGCTACATTCTTTACAATTAAAAAATTTTCTTAAGTCAAGCATTTGTTCAACACATGATCAGCTGCGGTGAAACTTGGGCCAAGTGTTTGGTCGACATTTGATCAGCTGTGGTGAAACTTGGGCCAAGTGTTTGGTCGACATTTGATCAGCAGTGGTGAAACTTGGGTCAAGTGTTTGGTCGACATTTGATCAGCTGTGGTGAAACTTGGGCCAAGTGTTTGGTAGACACATGATCAGCTGTGGAACTTGGGCCAAGTGTTTGGCTGACATTTGATCAGCTGTGGTGAAACTTGGGCCAAGTGTTTGGCTGACATTTGATCAGCTGTGGTGAAACTAGGGCCAAGTGTTTGGCTGACATTTGATCAGCAGTGGTGAAACTTGGGCCAAGTGTTTGGTCGACATTAGATCAGCAGTGATCGTGTATATACCACAGATGTAATTAAGGTGGAGGTTTTGGCTGACAGTAGTGATCTTATAACACATGAACCACATGTCTGATTGTTTAAGATGCTGTGACAATTAAATTCATATATAAAAATAAAAATCATACAGGATTTCACTGTTGTTTCAGAAATTTGAAATGGCTCATCTTTCGCTCATTTTTGTCTCTCTTCAAAAAAAAAGAATCAGAATGAGACCATTAAACTGTATTTTTCAGAGTTCTTGACAACCAACTTAAGTGTATGGCTAGATCATTCCTTCAAATCAAGGTTAAGACAAATTTTCAGGATGACAGGATGAAAGTAGAACATTGGTAACACACTGAATAACCATTAGTACATTCAGTTGGCGTTTGCCACACTGGATCAATTTTGAGGTAAAAAGTGGAGATGGTTAGAACATTACCATACAGAAGTATTCCACTGTTTATTTATCAAAGGTTGTAAATTTGATTAAAACCTTTAGGGAAAATGACCACACTGATACCACCCTTAATAATGTAGAATGATTGTAATCCATTGTGAAGTTGTCATGATTGTTCGAAAGTAAAGGTGCGATATTTCAAGAGTATGCAAGAAATGTTTGAATGTCAGAGTTTAAAAATAGTATGGGATTTAAAACTTGTAGCAAAACCATTGCAAAGCGGTGTTTTAGGCATGAAAATTATGATGGTCTAAACAGAATTTGTTGTTTGGACTGATTACGATACAAAATATAAAAACGAAAAATTTGACTTGTACTAAAATTTTTCCTGCAGATTTGTTGCCTCAGGCCTGTATATTTTTACACTCCTGCCCTCCTTCAAT